TGTTCTCATATTTACGAGTGCCAGATAAAAAGACGCCCTGTAAGCAGTGGCGTTGCTAGGGTCTTATGGGGCTCCAAGCAAGACATTTCTAGGGCCTCCACCCCACCTCTGCACGCAAAAGAAAAAAAAAGTCTTTTGGAGAAATAAATGCACAGTTTCTAGAGCATTTAAGATGTATACTGAAAAAAACTGACTAGAATAGATTAGTGGTTCTCAAAGTGAGGTCCAACAGAAGTCCATGACAGCCCAGGCCTATCAATAATCATTGTAAATAATCTGAACACCAACAAAATATATAAAATATGAACTTTAGTTTATTACAAAAGTGCACTGTAAATTGTTAAACTTCAAATATAAAAAGTAAAATCTAGTAAATAATTAAACAATGTAGGAAGCCATATAGAAAATGTAATAGGTTTAACACATACAGTGGAGATAAATAATACTAAATTAAATAAATAATTAAAAATTAGGCTTGGCTAGTGCAAAATTCTCAGATGCATCAAAATGCAGTCAATAAGTCAACAACTGGTAAGGCCACATCAAGAGAAAAATAAAATTGGCACAATACAGATGAAAAAATACTGAAAATAGTCTTGAGTTCCTGCCAGCTATTCATACTGGTATGGTGTGTCTTTGAATGCTCCTTTAAATGACCAGCTATGTTTTTCCAGTTTCTAAAGCCCCCTTTGGTAAGTGAATTGTCCTGTTTTCCAAAAAGCTTGCAAGCAAAACAGAAGACTGAGTCTGTGCTGACTGAGTAAAGAAGCCATCTTCACGGTATTTTGTCTCCATTTTTCATGGTATATTGTAATATTCCTTCTTGAATCTACGTGGGTTTTTGTCTGTATTCTGGGGGAAAACTATATCTTTCACCTGTATGGGTCCCCTTGTTACCATTTGGCACAGTTCGGTATGGCTTAGGATGCTTGGCCATTGAGCAGGGTCTTCTGAGATCACATCTTTTGGGCACGACACATCTTCCTTTTCACCTTCAGGTCTTAATAGAACTAATCAAAAAAAGAAAAGAAAGAATATGGCATATTTGTTATAAACATTTGACTAACATGAGGTAAATACAGTAACTATTGCTACAGTTACATTTACTGCCAAATTAAAAATGATTGAACTCAGTTATCAGTATCAGTAATTGAAATTGACCCTTCATCGTCCATCTCTGTTGCATCTTCCTGCACTGGAAAGGCAGGAGGTTGGGGAGCTGATGTACTGCTGGAGGTGGATGTTGATAGAACTGATACAAAAAAAGCAAAAACAACAACAGAGCATATGAGAGTATTTTATGGCAGCCATATGATAATGTCCATGCACAGCATTTTCTAGAATCACAACGTAACACTGTCACTGTCACAAAGAACATTTAGAGGGCAGGCCATAATTATCATAAATTAAAGTGGAATATTGAACATACCTGTACAGTTTTCATCGTCAGTGCTGGGAGGGGGTACAGTATCCTCCACTGGATTTACTGGTTTTAAAAATGTTAGTAATGATCCTGAGGAGAGATAAGTAAGTTTAAAAAAATGTCACATTTTAATGTCCTTTGTTTAAAAGTTCTCTTTTGAGTGCACATATATAAAGCCCAATACAAATTTCCCACTCTGAGCACAATGAAATTAATCTCATTATCAATTTATCATCAAGCATATTTTTTACATGCAAGGAGTAATTTATTATTATTGTTGTAGGTGTTGTCTATATTATTTTTTGACTGTCTGCCTCATCAGATTTGTTTTCTGCAGCGGGAGACTGCAGAGTAAAGCACTGATATCTGCTAGCTAACG